CATAGCGAACCACTAAGCTAGTGTGATGAGCAAAACAAGAGTGGCTGCCACACACAGTGAGGCTACCTCGATTCTCTCCCTCAGTCCCTCACCATAATTCCTCCTCCCACAATACTACACACATATGTACATGGGTATATACACACATTGTATATGCCCATGTACATATGTGTTCACCATAGCAAACCACTAAACTTGTATGATGAGCAAAACAAGAGTGGCTGCCACACACAGTGAGGCTACCTCGATTCTCTCCCTCGCTCCCTCACTACAATTCCTCCTCCCACAATACTACGCACAGTGCTTATTATCACCACAATCCTGCTGTTATCACAATACTGGTCACTAAATCCTGTAAATACATAATTGACCACAAGTTTATTTTGTAAAGGAACCTAAGAAGTCGTTTGAAGATTCCTAGATGGACGAAATAATGCTGTGGTGCTGTGGTTAGTGCTGTGAATGTTGTGAACAGCATTGAATCACAAATATTTGAACATTGTACACAGTCATTATCATACTCAGGCTCTTCTGTAATATTATCATGGCTAAATAATTCAAGTTATATATATTTTTTACATTATTAGGCGATGCTATGGTTACAAGCTGAACAGCAGTGCTGTGAGCTCATGCTGCATGCGCCGGCCTTGGTTGCTCACTCACTACTGAGGCTCTCACACCTGGGAATGTGGACCACGATTTTTTTAAAGATGGCGTCTGTTTACAAGAGCCCTGAGGAAGCTGAAGTAAACCCCATGTAGCCGCTGGAGTTTTGAATGGAACATGAAAAATACAAATACCCGGAGGTGCATAGCACATCCAAGACGTGGGCCTGCAGGCGCATTGCTCAGTTAAAGGGTTAATTGTTACATTGCACCACCAGGAACATAATTGGGGTCAGTTTTCTGTAGAAAGACTCGTCGGTGTCCTGAGGCTATCCGAACTGATATGTGCTATATTAGTTTGGGGTCATCAGTCACAGAAGTCCTTATACCTATCGTGAACCACGAGTCAGAACCTAGTTCTCTCGAAGAAGCACAGGGAGCAATGGCCTACGAGCACTTTACATTTAACCCCTGGGTTGCTCTTGTGATTATAGCCTGCAGCAATCCCAGGCGCAAGAAATAACAAAAATAAAAATTTGTGTTTTTTTTTCTTATAAAAGTATTCATTTGTGTTCCTGACTATGGGGGAAAACTAAATCTTATGTGACATATTTTGTCTGCAATAGTGTGAGGAAGTCTGGCAAAATTGAGGCATTGACAGAGCAATCGTTGGAGGTGGACACCCCCTCCCGAGCTGTCAGGTGGGAGTTGCCACAAAGATATTATTACACTGTACCTAATTATTTCAATTTCTCTGATTGATTTTATTTTATTTTTTGCAGTAATATTATTCAATAGTGTATAGTGGGATATATTTATATAATAAAATGTGCTAATCATCACTATACTCAAAACTATGGTGTGCATAATTTTATGCACACCATAAAACATCTCGCCAGGTAGCCTCCAGAAGCCTGTCAGAAGGAATGGCCTGAATCTTGAAGGAAAATTATGAGACCTCAACAAAACAATTATGATCATAAAACAATAAACAAATAGTTTTGTTGTTTTTACACTATATATACAGGTTATATATATAGGTATCTGCATGTTTTGTTCACCATAATGAACCACTAAGTTGGTATGGTGAGTCAAAACAACGAGGAGTGGCCGCCACACACCACCCAGCTAATGCCACCATCTTTCCTCTTTCAATAACACCTTACTTGCCAACATTCCTCCCCCACCATATTGTTTTTGCTTTTATTCACTATATACAGACATTATATATGAGTATCTACATGTTTTATTCACTATAACTGTACAACTAAGCTGATATGGTGAGTTCAGACAATAGCAGAGGTCGCCACACACAGTCAGCTGATGCTGCCTCCTTCCCTCACTCGTTCAAGGCCAGATGCACTAATATTCCTCCTCCTACCATACTGTTTGTGGTATTATTACATTATATATAAGTATACATGTTTTATTCACCATAACTGTACAACTAAGCAGGTATGGTGCACAAACAGCATAGTGGCCACCCTACACAGCATGACAAGTCATGTAGACAACGTCACCTCCCTCACCAAAATGGCTCATCTCAACATACTCCTTTTGCTTTTATTACACTAATACACATGTTATATATATATGTATTTACATTTGTGTTCACCATAGCAAAACACTAAGCTGATATGGTGAGTGCAGACAATAACAGGTGGCTACACAGAGTCAGTAGACGATGCTACCTTCCTCCCTCAGCATTACTCCTCCCACCATACTATGCACAGCACTAATTATCACAACACTCCTGCTATTATCAGAATCCTGGTCATTTTTATCACAGTCAGGTCTTCTGTAATACTATCATGGCTAAATAATACCAATTACATATATATTTTTACATTTTTAAGCAATGCTGTGGTCACAAGCTGAACAGAAGTGCTATTAGCTCATGCTGCATGCACCAGACTTGGTTACTAATGCAGCACTAAAGCTCTCACACCCGGGAATGTTGCCCACGATTATTTTTAAAAATGGCATCTGTTTATGAGAGCCCTGTGAAAGCTGATGTGAACCCTGTGAATCGGCAGGAGTTTTGAATGCTATGCTATACCTACGAGAGCCTCAAGGTGCGTTGCACACCATCCATCGAGAGCCTCAAGGCACTTTGCGCAGTGCAGTGGTTAAGAAACCTCCTTGCACTCTTTTCCCATGTACCAAGGATCTCGGATCCTATTGGAGTGAAGTTGTACCAGTGATTTAGTTCCCTGTACTTGGTTAACTTGTCTCTTTCTCTGTGTTGCCGCAGCTCCTGCTTGGCCGATATAGAGGTTGATGTATGTGGCTGCCAGGGTGGATACGCAAGTATAGTCCCACGCCAATTGTCCGCCAATTTCCCAAGGGCGTAATGTAATTCCATCTAGTCGGCCAGTAAAGCTAACAGAGTTACAGTTCAATAGATTGCGAGGCTTCCTCTCTGCTGGACACTCTGCAGAGGCAAGGCTCCTCTTAGTGATGTCACTGACTTCGTTGTGTCGTGAGTGCCAACTGCCTGATTTTCCACAGTGAAGGCCATGCAATCCCTATTCATCTGCATCTGTTTCTCCGCAAATACACCTATGAACAGTGTGAATAGGGGCAGGAAGGTGGAGAGTGATCACAGTAAGGAGCTGCTGCGAATCAAGACGTGTGCCTGTTTCATCATAGGCACTGCCAAAAGGACATTCCCTGTATGGGGGGCCTGCACAGCTGTGAGTTGTGCACGATCACTGGGGTTGTTGCTGCCTCCAGCAAAGCTGTGGCTTCTTTGTCTACAATGGGGCTGTCCTAGCTGGATTGTTTCTTGGCTTTCAACATGGTTGGTCTGAGTGCAGTGTCTGCCATGGTACCTCACTTTTTGTTGAATTCCTAGTAGTCGGGGTCATGGATCCCTGCTGAGTCATCCAGGTTGTCAGGTAGAATTTCTTTGACCAGGTCATCTGATGCTGAGGAGGAAGAAAAGAAAGCTGGGACAGCAATTTGAGTGGCAGTGCGGACACCAAGGCCGCCGAGCCTGACAGGAAGAGTGACTTGTTTCCACTGACAGTCATTGAGGGAAAGGTTGACAACTTTTTCTAACGTGGTCTTCAGTAAGAAGTTATACTCTTCAAGCTTTGGGCTGTTGTAAGATGGGGCACACCTCAGAAAGTAGGTTAGCCTCGGAAGGAATAGGCATTTAGTGAGGAGATAAAAAGCATCATAGGCATCGATGTCACCTATCCTGTCTTCCATCCTTCTGTGATTTTCTTGTCGAGAATCTCCTCAATGGCATTAGACCCAAGGGGGGTGCTCCAAGAAGAGTGCTGTTCCTAATGATATGGGCTCCTGGCAGGATGGATCTTATGCTAGCTATGATGTCTGGGTTGGAGACTACTTCACACTTGGAGGGGTTAAGGAAGAGACCCAGGCTTACTTCTTGTTCTTTTATTTTTCTATGTCTTCCAAGAGGTGGTCTAGGGGGCCAGATATAATATTATATTATATATTTATATATATATATATATATATATATATATATATATATATATATATATATATATATATATATATATATATATATATATATATATATATATGTCGTACCTAGTAGCCAGAACGCACTTCTCAGCCTACTATGCAAGGCCCGATTTGCCTAATAAGCCAAGTTTTCATGAATTAATATATTTTCTCTAATTTTTTTCTTATGAAATGATAAAGCTACCCATTTCATTATGTATGAGGTCAATTTTTTTTTATTGGAGTTAAAATTAACGTAGATATATAACCGAACCTAACCAACCCTACCTAACCTAACCTAGTCTATCTTTATAGGTTAGGTTAGGTTAGGTAGACGAAAAAGTTAGGTTAGGTTAGGTTAGGTAGGTTAGGTAGTCGAAAAACAATTAATTCATGAAAACTTGGCTTATTAGGCAAATCGGGCCGTGCATAGTAGGCTGACAAGTGCGTTCTGGCTACTTGGTACGACATATATATATATATATATATATATATATATATATATATAATTAAAATGCAAACTTCATCACAATGCATGATTAAGTATCTGTATCTAAGGAGATTTAATAAATTACTCCTTTGTGATCCCTGTTTACCTTTATTGTTCAAAGGTAATGTACTATTTTTTTTAATTGTTATTTTTGTTTAAGTTTGCTTTTTCTACTTATTTTCATGTAATCCAAGTCTTATTTCAATAGTAGTTTACTACCTTTATGAGTTTTTGTATCACCATATCATTTTAATTTACATCTTGTGTACACATATTCTTAAATCCTCTTTGTCTATCAGAATCTGAGGTAGTTACCTTGAACCTTCTGGGTGAAAAGCTACATTTTCAGTCCCTGAAGGAAATCCTCCTTATACTATATCTTTCCTCTTAAATGAAACCTGCATCTTTCTACCATCTCCCTAAAGGAAACCTCCATCTCCATCGGACTCGGAACCCTCAAAAAAAGTGGATCCAGTGGCCCTCGCCAGGTAGCCTCCGGAAGCCTGTCAGAAGGAATGGCCTGAATCTAGAAGGAAAATTATGAGACCTCAACAAAACAATCCTTTACCTTAGAAGGAATTGCTCACTGACTTATTTATATAGACTCTTTCTGTTGCTTGACACAAAATTGTTTAGCATTTGCAACTCTCTTGTACAATTAGATTTTTATATGCCAACTAAATTTAGACAAAAGTACTATGACAATATGACATTATTCAGTATATGAGGGTACTAATACCTGAATAGCACTCTGATACATATTGTCCTCATGTAAATTGATTTCCCTCATAACCAAAATTAAGGCAAATTACATTCACTCTATTTATAAATATTAAACTATTTTCTTTATTTAACATTATATAAGAAGCATCAATGCCTTCAGTCAAGCCTCAGAAAGTAAGCTGTATTACTTCACTTAAGTGTAACAAATTTCCATATGTAGCCTGAAATATCAGTAACTAAAGAATCACACAAAATTATTGACAATAAACAGTAAGAACTGTAATGTTACATAAAAATTTATAATTCTTCAGGAAGTACAAAATTCTTATATTACAAATTTTAACTGGTCAGAAATATTTGTAAAGCACTTAAACATTAATAAATTTTAAATAAATGTGACAATAAATAGCTGAGATTTGTTATATTTGTTCAGTGTAACTAAAAAAACAGAACCATTTCCCTTTTTAATTGTTGCTAACATTGGAAATTTGGACTTGTTAAGTTGAAGTGACTCGGTGCAGATCAAGTAAAGGCCATATACTATTTGATGACAGGCCTCCTTAGATGCACGGTACTCGAATGTTATCCAATCATATTTTCTAAGGGGTAGCATATACAAACTATTTCCTGCATTAGAGCAGCTTGGATCTCTAAGAGTTTCAAGTGATCCAATATGGTATATTTAATTTATAATACCAGTTTCAGGATTTGAAACAAGTATTGTTTTTCCAGATTATGGAAGAATTACTTAAAATTAGACTTGTTTGAATTCAGATAACTGGTAAATCTTTATCTTTTACATAATTCATATTTTCATGTTTGCTTGCATTTTTGTTTAGATACTTCTAGAAATTTACATATTCTAGTTGCTTGTTGCATACACTGATAGAGTGTATATTTTAAATAAATATGCACATAGAATGGCAAATTTTAGCATTTTTATTTTATGTAGAACTGCATACTCAGGACATGTAGGAAAACGGCCTCCAGTACATAGTTCTTTGATATAAATAAAACTAGCAGATGACAAAATATTGAGAGACTAAAAAGTATTTTCTTTAGGATATAAGGTTTCACTTTCAGAAAAACCTTGCTATGTCTAAATCTTTACAATCTTGCTATCCTATATCTTTGTTTCTCTTCAAGGTCTGTACATCACATGCTAATTATATCACATCAGGCTAAGTTATAATAATTACTACATTTGTATAATTAAGCATGTAAATATTGTTTCAGCCTTGCATATGAAAATTAGTAATGTTACTTAATAATCTTTGTTAAAGTAATCTTTATAGAAAAAGAACTAATGTATTTTGTATACTATTTCATTTATGAAATTCATATATCATAGACTGTACAGACTATTTTAATTGTTTAGCAGTATCTTTTACAAAGAGCATTTATTATATAAAGAAAATTATATATTATACCCTACCTTATAAAATCTGAAAAGGTGTTGTAGATTCATAATATGTTTTGCTACAAAGAAATGAGATTATATGGCTGATATTACTACTTATGTACTGCCCTGTCTCATATATATATACTAATATTTTCTCATACCAAAGATGAATTTTTCAGCATAGCCACTTTAAGAGTGATGCTTTTTACAAGAAGATGACTACTATGGCATCATTATTATATCGAAATAACCGTAACTGTCTACTTGATGCAGAAAGGGAAGCCAGAGCAACCAGGATATGTGTATGAGTAACTTTGAACCCTTAGCTGCCATGTCAGTTTTTTTTTTCTTTAATCAGAGAAGTTGTGAATTATCTATTTAGAACTCTGTTGTATGGATTTTGTAATATTGTGTGTGTGTTGTCTACAAATGGTCTTTTATTATTTACTGCCACCTCACCTCCTTCCTTCTCTTCCCTGTCCCTTCATATTGTGTGATCCTTCTCAGGCAATCTCAGTTTGTGTTTTTATTCAAATTTTGTTTTTTTAGAGCATCTACTTCTGGGTCTTTACACTCTTATATCCTTTAGTTCCACCACCTTTCGGCTCATGTATATTAGTATAAGAGATCTTTAAGAACAGATTTTTTGGGGTAAGTTTATCTTCATCGCATTTTCTCTCAAACCCATGTGTTAGTAGAAAAAAAAATTCCTGTCCTTGCTATCATCTTTGTTTAACCACTGTGATGCGCCAGGTTTATTGTGACATCCCCCCGCCCCCTGTGCACATAAAATGAAGTATTCGCCAAAAACATTTTGATCTTTGTAAAGTGATAAATTCCCTTCCCTGAATACGTACATGTAAAAAAAAAAAAAAACTAAAAAATTCCACTTTCTTTGGCTGTGGACGTGGAGAAGGGAGCGTGTTTGCTGTGCGCCCGTGCGTGAAGCTCCCAGAGCCGGTCGCACAGGCCATTCAAGCACCGCAAGTTACCACAGATATATTTAATATTATTTGTTCTGTGTATTTCCAATGCAGTTTTATTTTTTTATTTTTTTTTGTATATGATGCATATCTGTATCTTTGACAATATGTATGCAGTAGAACATTCATAATGTTCCATGTAACTGCGATACATGTGTCAGTAATGTGTCCACAATAAATATTTATTGTTGCAATATTACTTGCTAAAAATTCACTAAAATTACAATATGTACACTTTCACACACTATTTACACAGTAACACACTTACACACTCAATACTTCGGAAGTGAATGATTATCAATGAAGCAGTCCATGGTACACAGCATGACTTCGCGCTCATATATGTATAATCTATAAAAATTGAAGATGGCAGGAGTGGGCAAGAGTGGTGCTCAGAGCTACAACTGGATACGCTCTGTATATCGTCCTCATCGGTGCTGTATCGCTTGCATCCGACCTTTGTGTTAGGTCCTTATTGCACCTAGCTTCATCAGTATCATGACCCTTATGTTCTTCAAACAATAAGGGCTGAATTTCACCGACAGAGAGTGATCTTTCAACACCGCTTCGGACAAGTATTTGGGAGCCAGAGGTGCGTGCTCCATCCGTGGTTGCTCACTCAATACTAACCCAGCCAGCAGCCCTAAGACATTCTAGGAATTTTTTCCAAGATGGCTGCTTCTCACTGGAGGTCCCAAGAGTCTATTTAGTACACAACCTACCGCACATGCGTTTTGAATGGGTACGAAATATTCAAAAGGTGTTTTCTCGGTTGGCGTAGTTTCCCATCGAACGAGTTTTCTTGGTTGGCGCAGCACAGTGGTTAAGGCTTTAACTTTTTCTATTTTTTTTAACCACTGACTTTCTTTTAACCATTGTTTTATCCATTGTGCCATTTTATCCATATTTAAAGAATCAAATGCAGGGTCATTGCTTCCTTTCAGATTTTTCTTAAAATACTAACAAATTTCCTATTTCATAAATATGAATACTAATTACACAGTCATTTGTTATACTGAACATTGTGTGGTTCATGCAGTTATACGATTTCATAAATAGGTTACCTATTTATGGTAGATAGCTAGTTGCTGAGGGCATATAGCACATTCCTATTATACAGTATAACATATTTCTATTCACAATTTTGCCTAATGTGAAGAAGTCAATCAGAGGTTATTGCACATGATTATAGTGTGATGCCTTGTATGCATTTAATTTCTTATCTATTTTTATAGAAGTGTAATATATTTGCATTTATCATATCATTATGCAGTTTTATACAAATAAGGTTAGTACTACAGTAATTTAATTTTATGACATTTTGGTAATTTAATTGTTTCTTTTTTTCTTTTAGGTCTTTTACTTATGCATACTTAATTCTAAAAACAAAATGTAATTAGTTTTCCTAACTTGACCTTTTATATTTATAACTTTTCATATCTATACATGTAGTCTTCCTCTTTTGCCCAGTCATAGATGAGTGTCTGTACTGGATGAAAACTACCATGGCAGTTATTGTATGCTGGTTGCTTTAACTTTCCATACGCTGTTATCTCTTTTTGTAGCAATACTGTATTCTGAAATTTTACTATTTTTCTTGGCTTATTTAAAGATCATAGAGAAGAATGGAATTTAGCTTTTAAGATATTAAGTATCTGAATTAAATATAAAGATTAAAGCTCATCTTCCAGCAGATACTGTACTGTAGGAGTGACTAGAGAATACTGCAAGTGATCTATTAATTTTTATCTTTCCAAGCTATCAAGGTAAATCAACTATCCTACTCCGAGGAAAATCTACAAGATATTTTAAAATCACCAAAGAAATAGTTCTAAGATTTTATTAAAAAAAACTAATGATGCATCTATTTGTTGTGATAAATAGGAACACTTCCCTATTTTCTTGCTATAAATTAGCTATGCACAAAGCCAAACAGAGAAAACTTATATTTATGCTGTAATATTTTCAGAAGCATTTAACACAAAAAATACTTTGCAGTACTGTATAAAATTTATATTGTTCTGCAATTCACCATATATTGGGAATAGTAGAGAAGTAGTTTTGCCTTAGTGTGACATCGAGGGCATTGTTAGAGTCCACTATCCTTAACCTTAACTTATATATTAAATGTCTCTTTATCACATCTAGAAATGTAAGATTTTTAATATAAAAGATAATTCAGAAGGTTGTCCAGGATACTTTTAGCAGATGCTTAAATATAGTATGTCATTGTAATATATCCTATAGCTTGTTTAATACTGAAACCATGCTTTGTCAATACTGCATTGTATTTGAGGATTAGCAGTAGCTCTTGAAATGCCCTTACTTCACACAAGAAAGGTCATTTCTGTGGGGAGCCCCTTTGGCTCCCTGGAGCTAT